AATGGGCAGAGCCAGGACTCAAACTGTACACTAAAGTAAATCCCAAGCAGGCACAGAGCCTCATGATGACTTTTAGCACTCTAAAAGTTTAGAGAAAAACATGCCACGCTGTCCTGAGTTGAGGATAACAGAATCTCAACATTCTAAAGGACATGTTGATGAATCTGATCAGGTTACAATTGAAAATACCCAAAGACAACACAAAGGGGTCAAGTGACAAGTCATAGATGTCTGGAATGTGTGACCTCTTGTGTTGCCATGGCAACGACATCACACTCTGACATTGAAGGACTCCAAAGTACCCAGCTGGCCTGCAAGGAGCTTTCTGAACTGAGTTAAATTGCTAAAGAAATAGGAGAAAGCCCGAATATAAGGCCTCTGAAAGAAGAACTGTTCTGGGAACACTAAGTGACTTCATTTACACCCCTGAGATCTGCCAAGGGCTTTTAGTGCCCTTAGTACCACATCCTACATCAGTGCACCCATGCTCACACGCAAGAGGACTCCAACTTTTCAAGCACATACACTGGACTCACAAACTGGATGAGCTTTGTGTTTTCAACAAGCCCTCCTTTCACCACCTTTCTTCTAAACACTTTCTCTCTGAGATCTGCAGTACCAATTTATTATGTTTTTCCATATTTCCCTCAAAGCACACAGAATTCTAAGACATCCATGTATCTTCACATGTACCTAATTATATGGACTTGGGCCTTCATTCAGTTTTGTGGGAAAGCTATGTAGCATAGATACATCAGCCCTAACATTTACACATTAGAGAGGAACTTTTGTCTATACAGAAGCTCACATGGAAAGAGAAATGCTTACAAGGACCTTCATTGCAGCATTGCTTATGATAAAAATACTTTAGAATGGGCTGTAGAAGAAACTGTAGTCTATTCAGAAAATGAGGGGAGTGCACCAAATAGTATACTACCTAGATATGTAAATATAAACAACATGTGTACATGATATATGCTACTGGGATATTTTTAGCAAAAATATTATAGAGTGTGCTATTGCCAAATAATAGAACAAGTTTAAAGAAAAAAGAAAGTAGAAAACCAAGCATTTAAGGAAGAAAGGGAAAGAGGAAGGAAGGAATGGAGGGAGGACTGGAGGGAGGAAGGCAGGAGGGGAGAAAGAAAGCAGAAAGGCAGGAGGGAGATGCACATTCATGAAGAACTGGTGCAGGTAGAATGCCATAGAAGCCTCCATTGTTCCTTTCCCTGCTTTCTAAGTGCTGAGATCATACTCTCTGATTGGTTACAGTCCTCGAAACATGGTTGCCAAGCTCTAGGCTATGTGCCCACAGTCCTGGTGTATGGTGAACAATTCTGGAACTGGACAAAAGGTTCTTTACCTGCTCTTTTTTTAAAGCTCCTGGTTATCAGGAGACTGGGAGAGCAGGCCCTGCATCCCTTGTCTGTCACGTGGAGACATGGGAGAAGAAATGATGCCCTCCACCTCTTGCCCCTCACCAGCTGCAGCACTCAGAAGATCGGATCCCACCCCTCAGCTGCCATACAGTGGAGAGAACCCCTCCCCCACCCCATGCTGCCTTGTGGCAGGCAGGAGAGCTATCCCTGCCTCTCATCAACTGCAGCACTCACCAGAGCGGCCCCTGCATTTTACCTGGGCAACACTGTAGAGTTGTCCCTACTGGCGGGATTTCCGGAGGAGAGCTAGTCCCGAAGAAGACCTGAGAGCGGGAGAGCTAGCCAGTAGTAATCTGTCACTCAGTGGTGTCAGCGAAGAAGAGATACTGCCCCCTTGCCCCTTCCCTCTTTCCCTTTGCCCCTCACCACTTACTCTAGGCAGGAAAAACTGGTTCCAGGGTCATGAGTGTGGGAAAGCTGATCCTGCCCCTCACTGATTGCAGCACTCAGGAGAACTGGTCCTCCACCTGACCTGAGCCACACAACAGAGCTGACCCTAGGTGAGCTGGCCTCAAGGGATGAGAGCAGGAGAACAGGCCCAGTTCCTAGAGGCTTACTAGGAACTGGCATAGAATGAGCTAGCCAGGATGGTGCTTGAGAGCTCACCCTAGTACTGAGGATGAGCAAGAGTCGAGAGCCAACCAACCTAGGAGCGGCCCAGGCCTAGAACCAGGGCTATGAGTTGGCCCATCCCAACATCTACCTCATCTATGATCTTCTGGGGCATGTGAAGATACTGGTCCTCCAGACCCAAGGTTCAGGATCTCCATGACACAGGGCAGCAACAGGATATCCAAGAGGAGTCCCAGTGAAGGCCCAGTATGGATAACATAGCAGAAGCCAGAAGCCTCAAACTTGTGTGAGTCTTTATCAGGGTAGTGGTATAACACTCTGGAAGTAACTTTCCAAACAGAGCCTCAGAGAGAAAAGTCATGTTGGAGTCTGGTGACTGACAGCTCAACCGTTTAGATGGGAACAGGTGTACTGATACTGGTTTTGACGTCTTTGTTTTGTTTTATTCTGAGACTGGTTTTCCAGCCCTGGCTGACCTCAGCTTTACTGTCCTCCTACCCCTATATCCTGAGTGCTGGTCTATAGGTGCTGTAGGAAATCCTACAGCCAGTGGCCTTTAAGTTACCCGCCCACTGGGGCATGACCTCTTATACTATTTATGCCCATGTAGAGCATGTGTCTGGCCTTTTTTCTGGCTGTGGGATTTGGTTGCTGTTCTCCGTCGCAGCAGAGGATTCTGATTTGTGAGTCTACCCCAAAATAAATAACCATCTATTCTTCTCAATTCTGAGCTAGTGTGAGATTTCTTTTAAGTGTCCTTCTTCATTTGGTGCCCACATGGATTCAAAAGTGTCCTTCTTCATTTGGTGCCCACATGGATTCAAACTCCATGCCTACCGGGTGGACAACTTAAAGACCTAGCTGATTCATGGCCCAGAAATTCTCCCAACCCTGCCTGCTTGACTTGCTTTTACTTAGGTGGGTTTTTTTTTTTAACCCTCACCACTACGGAGCTTACTGCACTCTGTAATACACACACACACACACCTGTACCAGTACTGAGAGTAATTAATGTAAAGAGGAGTCTAGATGAATAAACTGATGTATTAGTATAACATAGAGCAGTGAAAGGAAATGAATTTGGTCTGTGTATATTAAATTAATGAATTTGGTCTGTGTATACTAAAATCTCATAATACAATGTTGAGTTCCCCCAAATTATTAAATTAATACCTAGAATTTTAGATAAAACTTCTATGAAAGTTAAAAAGATCAAAATCAGTACAGTAATGGCTTTGGATGTGTGGGAAGACATTAGTAAATGTATATATATAATATGTATAAATGTGATATATACATATATATATATATATACTACATTCAGAATTGTGTATTGCTGAGAGGTAGGTAAGATATGTTGAAGATTATTCTGATGGATTGATTATATTTGTAACACATTTTCTTAAACTTGATTAAGGTTTAATCTTAATTAATTAATTAAGAATGGCTTTTATCTTCTGTGTGGTTCCAGAGGTTGTACTCAGGACCTGCTTAGTGCTCAACGACTGAGCTATACCCCTGCCCTTCTTTACTTTTTAAAAGATTATTTTGAAAGGAGTTTTTTTTTTTTTAAAGTTTCCCCGACCAGCTTTGACCATGAATGAAGCTAATCTTGGAACCCCAAGAACCTCTATTGCATTTTGGGGTTAGCCTTGTTTTATGGATCCCAGATTCAGAATATACCAGAATGCTCACAAGGATAAGACAAATCAAAGGCCCAGCCCTTGTTTAGTGCCTCATCAAATTACAACTGGGTTGTGAACTCAGGTGGATGAAAGGGGGTTTATACCTTATCAGTTTCCTTCAAGTTCCTGAATGTTCCAGAGACTTTAATTGGTTGAGTACATCCTCCTCCTGCTCCATCCTGGTGACATAAAGAAGTTGACAACAGACATCTTCCTGGGGGCAAATATAGCTATAACATGACCTGTGTTTGCTTCTAAAGTAGAATACTAATTACATGTAGCGCAGAAAATGCAGCAGGAATAGGGGCAGTTGGAGGCATGTGTTAATCAAGAATCAATTGTCACTAATGAATTTTTATTAGTAGTATTAAGTCACTCTCATAAATAATTGGTATGTAGACCATGTCATCTTTGTAATGAACATCATGTGAGAATACTTTGTTTAAATTAATTTTCCTTAATATAGAAAATGAAGCTGATTCTTTTTTCAATAGAAATGCTTTATTTGGCAGATTTTTTTTACACACATATATTTTTATATATAAAAGAATGTATAAATAAAGTCGTTGATTTGACCTGGCAAGCTTCAATTCTAATTCAGCATACTTTTCCTGTTTTTATAAAGTGCAGGAAAAATGTTGGCCTTTAGAAACTGATATCCCCTGGGTGTGCTAGTGTGGTAATATTTAAAAGAAATATTATTGTTCTTTAAAAAACTATAGCAAAATTCTAATAGAAAACCCCCAAATAAGATCCAACATAAAATCTGTTTTTATATAAATAAAAGGGATAAATTATTTTAAGCTGGCCTTTTAGAGACCGTGTCCTGCAAACGGCTGGTATGTGTCTTGTGCGCAACCGTGTACGCTTTACTACGATCTTGCTTGAAGTTTGTAAATCTTGAATTATTTTGATTAAGTGTAGACACTCCAAAATGAACTAGAGGCAAATGTGATTGTTTCCCAGCACAGGCTGGGTGGAGACAATGCTGTGATCGTGTGTCAATAAAATTCCTAATCATCTGGTCTTATAATGAATGGATTAGTTCCTCGTCTCTGCTGATAGAACATGAGCAAAATCTTTGAAGTGCGGGAGGCAACGGCAAAGAAAACAGTCCACTGCGCATGTGAGAGCTGGAGAGAGCTGGTGATTAGGAGAGGAGGGCCCCGTGGGTCAGCTCCCCATAGGTACAAACAGATGTTTGCACTGTTTCACAGCTGCTAAATATGATATAAATCCAAAGAATTTTTCTTGTTTTTATAAAGGAAAAAAATACCCAGACAGCAAATTTTTGGTCATTCAGATACCCTTGCCAAATGACATCTGGTTTCTGTACTGCTTATTTAAGCAATCCTTAAAAAAAATGTTTGCCAAGGGGAGTAACTCTAAACTTTCAGCCTTCACCATACACAACAGTACAGCTTAAATTCCAGCGTAGCATGCCCAGCTTATTAGAAGCAATGCTGCTCCATATTCTTGACCAGCAAGTTTCACTTTTAAAAAATCTATGATGGGGTTACATGTAGAAAATTCTGGAATTCCTAGTATAATGATGGCAAAGAAAATGAATTAATCGATTCCACATGTTAAGGGTGGTAGTGACCAAAGGTGAACTATATAGTTACCTACAGTCAAAAGTCAGGGGTCTGGAAGACGCTCTTGACTTGCATCAAAGTGACAGAACGTATGTGGCAGAAGGAAACCCCTCGGAGATCCAGACAGACGTGGATGTGAGAGGAAGACCTGTCGAAGTCTTGGACGAGCATCCAGATATCTTCTCTGTATCCATGATACCGTCTATTGCCCTGCAGAAAGGAGTGCAGGACTGGACCCAACAGCAAATACAAGAGTGCCAATAATTCCCCAAGAGGGTCTCCTTTGCAGGAGGAAAGACCCAATTCCACAGGTTTGTCTTCCTGATGTTTCCCACAGTGATCTTTTCGGCATCCATAAGACCTATGGTTTCTTTAGCACTGATTCATTTTAGATCTCACAGCTCAGCACTAGAAGAGAAAATGTCATAACATAGCGGGTTTGGAAGTGAGCATCTTTCCTTCTTGCAGGGGTGGGGAGGCGGATAATGAAAAAATCCCCACAAACATGGTGACAGGTCCAGCCTCAGAGACTGCTCACCAGGGGCTTCATCAGGTCTGTGTGGTTTTCAAACACCTGTCCAGGGAGAGAGAGTGCAGAGTGAAGGGAATTTACCATGTGGATCTTTGACTCTTTGTCAAATTGATTTGTTCACTGTAGAGGAGCTTGGGCTTTTGACATTAGATAATGGGAGGTCAGCCACTACTGAACTTTTCAAGAGGTAGTGATTTCTCCTAATGCGTGTTACTATGTAAAGCTGAGATACGAGTTCAGGCCTGGGATGATCTTCAGTCTCTGCATTGAGCCAACTCACTGGTTTGTTTGCCGTTTCTTTTGAGGACAATGGCTTCCTCTAGCTTCCATGATGTTTCCATTATCCCCCACACCCATCACTTCTGTGTTTACTAACATTGAGAAGTTTCTCCTGACCAGCCTTCCATACACTTCAACTCTTTGGAAAGTCCCAGGTCAGGGCTCATGAGACGATTTCACAAATCTATGTATGAGGAGCTCTGTATTTAGATGGAGACTCACAGTACATCTCTAAACCCCTCAGGCCCAGTTTCTCATGCCAAGTCCTTATGCCAAACAACTTGGAAACAAACTTTTTACAAGACCAACTGTATACAGGATACAAAGTTCTTCATTTCCTGAGAACCAGGATATTCAGGTTCTACAAATCCCTGAACCCGAAAATAGATTTAATCAGCCCAACTCACATCATAAATTTCATGTTGCATGAACACACGTGTGCTAGGAAGATAGGGAAACTGCATTCTAACTTTGAAAATTTCGGAATTGAGCCCCATGGGCCATTGTTTTATCTTGGACACTCCATGCCAAGGGAGATTCTCCAGGGATTCACATTGAATTAAGTTCACAAGCTTTACTGAGAAGGGAGCTGTTTCCTCTCTGTTATCAAAGCTGTCATATTTCACTTCCTACTGGAACTGCCCAACTCTTCTTGCCTCTATTTCTCCCAGACTGTTCTCTAGAATGGTCTAGTAATCTTTTGCATTGTTAAATTTTTTCTCTTTCCCAAAGTCCAGTCTTCATCCTTTTTCTCCTCTCTCTTCCCAATAACTCAGGGATATGTAAGAGTGGTTTAGGAGGATCTTCTTTATATGTGTTGTTTTCATTGGTCAAATAAAGAAACGGCCTTGGCTTTTTGATAGGGCAGAATTTAAATAGGTGGAGTAGACAAAGCAGAATGCTGGGAGAAAGAAGGCAGAGTCAGGCAGAAGCCATGGCTCTCCTCTCCGAGACAGACGCAGGTTAGACTCATCCCGGTAAGCCACAGTCAAATGGCGATACAGATGATTAGAAATGGGTTGAATCAAGATGTGAGAGTTAGCCAATAAGGGGCTGGAGATAATGGGCCAGGCAGTGTTTAAATGAATACATTTTTTTGTGTTGTTATTTCGGGTAAAGCTAGCTGGGGTGGCCGGAAGCGGCCTGCCACTCCTTTTACAACATAGGAGCTATTTCTTGAGAATCTCAGTAAATCGAAGAAGATAGTTGGGGCTACGACCATAGATTGTTCAGTTACTATAGGTTCATGGATATAGTAATAAACAATGCTTTGAGGGCTCACCAGTGAAAGCACACTGAAAGTTATTATAGACTATAATAACCAGGACCTCGGCATTAATACAGCCCCCAGGGTATTTCTATCAGTGAAAGACACCCTTGTTTTCTCTTTCATAAGTTATGTCCACACACAGCCATTCCAACACTTTCCATAGTCATTGTCAACTATTAGTCTCTAATTTTGTTCTTCTAAGAATGTTCTATAAGTGGAGGCCCCCTGGGGAGACGTTCACTGGAAAAGTGTGTTTGCTGTGCAGCATGAGGACCTGAGTTTGAATCCCCAACATTTATGTAAAATGTTGGGTGTGGCTACATGTGCCTGAAATCTCAGGACAGCAGGGAGTGGACACAGTAGATCCCAGGAGCTTTCTGACCAGCCAGCCTAGTGCAAACTATGAAATTCTGGCTCAGTAAAAGACCCTGTCCAAAGATACAAAGTGGAAAGCAACAGAGAAAAAACTCAGGGTGACTGCAGGAGCATGGGTTCACACATTTGCATATTCATGTGGGTACATCACGCGCGCGCGCACACACACACACACACACACACACACAAAGACATACACGCACGTGCCTCAAACAAAAGGGAAAAAAGAACCAAAGGATCTTGTTTAAATGGAATCTTCTAGAATATTACTTTTGGGCTTTGACTTTTTCTTTTTCCTCAGGCAATTCTCTGAATATCCACCCAGGCTGTTCATGTACTAGCGGTTTGCTCATCTTTATGGCTCAGTGTGGTGTAAATGAGCCATGGTGTGACTGCCCAGTTTCTGTTCAGTGTGATGTAGATGTGTCATGGTGTGACTGACCAACTTCTGTTGGAAGGTGTTGGTGCTCATCTGCTACAAACATTTGTGTATGGGTTTGTGTGTGAATGCAAGTGTTTATTTCTTCAGAACAAATTCCGCAAAACAATCACCAGGCTTTACAGGACAAAACTATAGGTCTTGAAGGAACTGTCAAACTGTTTCCTGGAATGAATGAGCTACCATCCAGTCTCATAATAACATGGAAGTCATATGATTTTGCCCCTTTGCACTGTTATCCTTTGGTATTTGAGCTGGTCTGTTGTAGCGATATTTCACTGTGGTTTCAATTCGCATTTCCCTAATGACTCTGAAGCTGTATATCTTTCCATGTAATCGTTCATCTGCCATCTCTAGGTTCTCTCTGACTCCGGATCTTATAATGCCCCTCTCCCGATAGCAGTTACTTTTCCCATCACAGAGACAGAACACATTTCCTATCTTTTCATATATATCCTCTGCCCTTGCTACCACCCACCCCACGAATAAAATTTAAGAGAAAGAAAGGAAAGGGAAAAAAAGGAAAAAAAGATCTCATGAAGGGACTGGTCCTGCAGACCCAAAGCTGCAGGATTTTCACAACACAGGGCAACAGCAGGATGACCAAGAGGAAGCCCAGGGAGGGTCCAGCATCAATAGTGCAGCAGAAACCAATGGCCTTGAACCAGACCAATGACTCTTTGCAATGGACACTTGCAAGTATAGGTATGTCGACAAAAGCATTTACTACGTGACTCACTGTGTCACACTGCAGCTTCTAGAATAGGATTGATCTTGGCTTTTAAAGAATACATTCCATCATGGTTGAAGGCATGGTAGCAGGAACCTGAGGCAGTTGGTCACATTGCATCTGCTTTTGGAAAACATCAAGAGACTAATGCTGGTACCTCAGCTTGCTTTCATTTTCTTCCTGTGCATTTATTCTAAGATCCTAACTGCTAGATGGTCCTCCCACCAGGATCTACCCAAGATAGGAACTCACCAGTATACTCAGAGCTTTGTTTCCCAGTTTCTGCTATTGTAGGTCTTTTCAAGTAGATGGCATCTGTGACTGGATGTTGATTTCACTACCACTTTTTATACACCTGTTACTGAAGAATGTGGCTCTTGGAAGCCATGCAGTTCTTAGAAGATGAAATACAGATTCAAATTCAGGTCTGAACTCTTGACAGGCGCTTTTTCCATAACACTCTGCTGATGGGAGCTGTCCTTCTGGATATGATTCCCTTTTATTAGTTAATGAATAAAGCTGTTTGAGCCAATAGTGTATGTAGTAAAAGGAGCAGTGGGCTGCATTCCCGCTGCCCGACTCCCTGCTAGTTTACACCTGAAATAATTACACGGAAACTATATTCATTTAAACACTGGCTGACTGATTATATCTAGCCTCTTATTGGCTAACTCTCACATATTAGTTTAACCCATCTCCATTAATGTGCATTGCCACTTGACTGTGGCTTACCAGCATGAGTCTAACCAGCGTCCGTCTCGGAGAGGAGAGCCATGGCGTCTGCCTGACTCTGCTTTCTTTCTCCCAGCATTCTGTTTGGTCTACTCCACCTATCTAAAGTCTGTCCTATCAAAAAGCCAAGGCAGTTTCTTTATTTGACCAATGAAAGCAACACATATAAAGAAGACCCTCCTACACCAAGTGTAGCAGAGTAAAGCAGGGTAAGAAATCTGAACAGAGATAGAGAGAGTAGGCTGAGTCGAAAGAGATGCCATGTAGTCACTGAAGGAGTAACATGCTGTACTGGTAAGCTACAGCCTCATGGCAATACACAGATTAATAGAAGTGGGTTAATTTAAGATGTGAGAGCTAGCTAGGAATATACCTAAGCCATTGGCCAAACAGTGTTGCAATTAATATAGTTTCTGTGTGATTATTCAGGTCTGGGCAGCCAGGAAGTGAAAGTATGGTGTCTGTTTATACTGTTACCCTCTGGGATTTTAGGGTCCTTGCCTATATAAGATCATTTTCTCCTCAGTACTTTTTCTTGGCAATTGATTGGCTTCTATTGACAATTCTTGGAAAGGGCATTCCATATTTATAGCTCCAGGGTCAAATTTTAGATCCACTAAGAATGTTTGAACCTAGACAAGTGGTAGTCAAACTCACTGTGCCCAAATAAGATGTCAGGAACCACTACCCATGAAACATTCTCATTCTCACTTTCTTATTCTAGTAGCAAACCAACATTCTTTCTCCCACAAGTCAACTATCTCTGTTTTCTCCATTAATTTTCTTAAGACAGTGCAATAATCGATCCTCAGAATCTTTGATGTGGCCTTGGTGCTCCTCAGAAAGTGATGCTCCTTTGTAGTATAGGTCCTGTCTCCACCACATCTAGACTAAACTACTCCCATTCTCCAGTACGTTGGCAGTTTCTTTTGAATCCCTCCCCATTATGGCTGCTTTTATCTACATTTCAAAGGTTTATTTGACATGTTCTTCATGGCACATTTCAAAAACCACCTCTTCCAAAAAGCTTTTACTGATTTGTCAAGTAGAGGACATCTCTCATTCTTTTAAAGCAAATCCTTCATGACACGGTTTGCCTTTTAATTGCATGATGATCTTGGCGTCTAAAATAGGAGCACTAACTTTCATTGTCTCGGCTGACCGCGTGCCCAGTTTGTGTCAGGCCTCCAGTGTTTAAAGATGTGGATCCTGTGGTTTTTGAGTATGTTGTAGATACAATGCTACTGTGATAGTCACCAGTTAGGATACTCATGACCAGTGTTCTTTGAAGTGTACTGGGATGTTTACTTTGGATGAGTTGCACATGCTAGAGGATGAGTTTTTCCCGGAAACAGTCATTCTGAAAGGTGTGCTGGGGCTGCTTAGTACTAACTGCTCTTGAAGAGGACCCAGGTTTGATTTCTAGCACCCATGTGATGGCTCACAATCTCCAGTTCCAGGAGCATCTGATGTCCTCTTCTGACTTCCTTGAGGATCACGCATGCCAATGGCGTACCTACACACAGGCTGACAAGACATTCATACACATGAAATACATCTTAAAAAAAAGGATTTGGTAGTTTATAAGTATCCTGATCTATGAAAAGGTGTTAAGTAATACCCTTGTCAGTTGTAAGCTAAATATATCTTCCTTTGGATTGATACATTTTTAATCTTAAACAGAAGGGCAGCATTGGCTTCTGAAGTTCCTGCATTAACTACTTTGTGGGCTCTGTGCTGAGGAACTACAGATGTGGAACATCTTAGGGCCAGTAGATTCGGATGTGTGATATGTAACTGTCAATTCGCAGAGCATTTATTTTTTTTCTTGGAGGACACCGGAACATGGATTTATAACTTGTATAATTTAATAATTTTGTTTAATAAATGAAAATGACATCATGTTCCTTGGACTTGCAAGTCTGAAATTGCAAAATGATACCAGGGAAGACTGTTCACGATGACAATTGGAGCCAGTAGCCATTTCCTATTGTATCCAGAGAATGGACGGCAGTGCTGTGGATGTAAATAGTACCCAGCCGTGGGAACTATCGATACTCTTTTTGTGCTGAGCACATACTAAGCACAAACATTTCAGCGATGCATTCCACAGTGGAGACTTTGCCCTCCGTTTTCTTTCCCCATCCATTTTGTTTTCTTCCTAACATTGCTCTTTTTTTTGTCATTATTTAGGCTTGCTGCTGGTTCTGGGTCAGAAGGGGCCATCAAGAGAGCAGGTTTAAACTCGCGCAGACTGCTCTCCAGCCCGACTCTGCAACGTTGCAGTTGTATCCTTGTGAGCAAACAGCAAGGCTGATGCACGTTTGCTCATGTAAGATGGTAGCATCCACCACAGCCAGCACATGGCCTTTGTGGGATTCAGAGAAACAGTGTAGGGGCCAGGACGAGCACACACCAGCCCACCGCTGCTCTTGATTACTGCCTATTGCGTGCCGTTATCTTTGTAATTATTAAGTATTTTGAGTTAAAAGCCACCGAGTTTTGTCCTTAAACCCATGAGTCTACATACAGGTGTTAAGGGGATGTTTCTGAAGCGGGAGAACAGGTAAGCACTCACCTTACCTGAGTATGCACCTTACGCATGCACCTCAAACGTTCACCCAAACGCGGTGCATCCTTCCTTTAGTACACAGTGGCGGGGAGGAGCAGAGCACATTTAGCAACCTTAAGGAATAGGCTCATAGTTTAACAAAATATGACAGCTATTTCACTTACTTTGCCAACATTACCTGGACACCTACCCCAGGCCAGCAATGTAACTGTACTGAGATTCATACCTGGTATTAGTCACACACCATTTTGCAAATAAAATCTATTGATCTGACCATTTCCAAACCTATTTTTCTCAGGTACCTCTCAGACTTGTTCAGATTTGGAGATCAACTTGAATTTTCCCTCCTGTACTTCTTCCTTTGCAGGGGGCAGGTGTCAGTCACCAGTGGGTGTGGTGGCCTAGGAGTCACTTCTGCTGATCTCAGACATAGGCAGCCAGTATTTGTAACCTCTAGGGACACAAAAGCATGGCCAAGGTGGGATGAGTGAGGGGCCTTGTTCTCTACAAACGTGAAGCATCATGCTGCAGAGAAAGGGGCTGGCAAAGTCTCCGTCAGCCTGTTTGCAGAGGAACAGCTGGCTGTAGCTTCATTGCAATAAAGTGTTAGAATTAATAGCCTTCATCTGTTTTCATTTTGCTAACCCACTACATCAAGCACCACAAAATAAATATATTAATTAAATGTCCCTCTCTTGGAGGCATTTGGAAAATGGAAAAATGTTCATTTGCAACAGGGGGGGAAAGGCGGGGATAATTACAATCTTGAAACTTCTGCAGTTGGAACAACAATAAAAGGAGCAGAAATGACTATAAAATAGGCTGTTCTTGGCATTACTTAATTGGCCTATTTATTTTTCTGTCTCTGAAACTGTCTTTAGTGACACCTACTGATAAGAGCCAATCGGAATCATGGCCGAATTCCTTCAGACTGGACCTGCCAACAAGCTGCTCAGCCCTCCAGATGTTACCGCTTTGTGAGAAATAAGAACTCAATAAACCAGGCTCACCCTTCCTCCTGGGGTGAACACAAAGACAGATATGGAAAATCACGGCTCAGCACCGCGAACAATGCTCTAAGTGAGGGGTTGGGGCCACTCTTATTTGTCTTGGTGGAACAGACAGCCATGGAGCCCGATGCAAGAATTTTAGTTGGCAACCGTTCAAACTCTGACTATACATTGCAATTGTTCACCAAAGGAAACTTATGAGCTTGGGGAAAGTGGCTTTTCACAGAAGGCGTGAGACACTGGTGGGGAGAGCTTGAGGTATCTCACAGGATGTTCCTATGCGAGTGCCCCCCCACCCCTTGTGTTTCCCAGAGTCCGTCCTCTTGTGTTATGTAACGGAGCAGAAGGATGCAGCAGTAAACAACCTCGGAGCACTTCCGAACCGTGGATGGATAATCTCCAGCAAGCACTTGCCGTTCCGGGAATAGGACAGAATGAGCTAGAATGCTTGTCCTCAGACCAGCGTGTCCCAGTCTGTCTTAACACAGGACACACTTGTGACCTTGCTATGAAAAAATAAAAATATCAAAAAAATGTGTGGTCATCATTTCCCCTGGGCTGGCCCCTCATCCAGCTGTCCGTTCATGCGCACCTTCTTCCATCCTCCCTGTCTGCACCCAGACTCACGGTGAACCCCTGAGTTCATCTAAATATGAGATGGGAAGCCGCTGTTCTCAGCACAGAGTCCCCTGCTAAGCCTTGTGGCAAGTTAGCATACAATGTACATAATGGATATTAATGAGTTAAGTGTTTATAATATTTAATTCACTGATTAAGTCTCATATACATGCTTAAAATCATGCCTAATATGCATTGACTTCTTTTTGAGCTCACATCTAACAAGGTCACGTTTATTTGAATGTTTATTTTGTGGGTGTGACTGTACCAGCTTAAGTGTGCCTAATCTCATCTGAACTCGTGTTCTCGGGATCTGAACTCGTGTTCTCGGGGACATTTAGGAAGCAGCTGAGACTTTGTCTTCACTGAAGCAGTCTTTTGAGCTGCCCAGTCCAGTGTTCCAGAGAGGGTTCTCTTTATCTCTACTCAGGCTTTTAATCAGAGTTTGGAAAACTGGACACTTGCATAGAATTTAGATGACAGTCTAATAAAAATAAAAGCACATGATTTCTCGACTGTGCGTAGAGCAAATCTCTCAAGCCTTGTTAATGGGTCACACAACACCCGAAGATAATGGGTGAACAAACACCCTAAGATAATGACTAGGTAAGTAATCATTGTTTTCTCAAAAGGAAGCTGCCATGGCTGGGGAGAGGGCTTTGTGGGTAAAGAACTTGCTGCTATAACGTGAGAGTCTGATTTCAAATCTCCTGAACCCAGAGGAGAAGCTAAGGGAAGTAGCATTCGTCTGTTATCCCAGAACTTCTATAGCAAGATGCTTGGTGGACTACCAGAGCCCCCGGGCCCCGACAAACAGCAAAGAGACCCTGTCTCAAACAATGTGGAAGCGGAGAATCAACCTCTGAGGTGGTTCTCCAACCTCTACAGTGTTCTACGGCCATTACAGGTAAGGCCATTGGAGAACACACAAACACACACACACATGCACACACACACACACTCATACACATACACAGAGAAGCGGGGCGGGGACTGCCCTTAGAGGATATTAAGTGGATACAGAGATGTAATTAGATAGGAATGCTTGCTAATGTTTCATAGCATTGGGATAATTATGGTTGACAACAATCAGTTGAAGATTGCACCAAGGAATGATGTGTCTAGACGGCAGGGATGCGAGCACCCTCGATCTGATCCCTATACACTGTTGGCACACATTGATGTGCGTGATTACTCTGTGCCAACTAAAAGTGCCAGGTGACTTTTGCAGTCTTCCAAGTTAGAATTAATTGAGACTAGGTGTGATAAGTCTTCCTTCAACGGTGTTCATTATTTGAAATAATAGAGATTGAAAAAGTATTCCTGTGATATCAGATGCTTCGCTTGGAGCCTTCATTTCTAAAGACGGACTGTTCCGGGGAACTTCCCCTAATAGTCAGAGTGTAGTGTGGCTCTTCCTCCTCTTGCCATGCCTACACCCATGTAAATGTCTCCACACCCATGTCTACATTCATCCTACCATGTCTACACACCCCACTTCTCCACTCAGAAGTTGGCAGAGGGAATAGTTTTTTCCCCTTGAGGATGACTGCGTGCCTTGCAGTTGGAAACGCTCTAGTTGGGAAGAAGCGCATTAGGTGGGCACTGTCTCTGAGGATCAGAGTCTCCCAAGACGATTCCATAATGGGACAGATGTGTAGTGTAGCTAGCAAACAGTGACGTGCGAGCCAAGCACTCTGTAAACTATGACTGCTTAGATGGATTTCTGAGCCGAGTGCTCCTAGTTTCAGGAGGACGCCTCTAAGATTGGCTCTGTGAAGAAGCAACAACAATCTCCCCTTGGCTCTGTGGGAAGACTTGGAAGAGCAAGAGGACTTTTGAGGTCTCTGATAGAGAGAAGTTTGGTTGGGTGCCTTCTCCAAGAGCAGGTCGGTCACACAGGAGGCAGAGATTATAAACCCAGGACAAGCTCCCTTCCAAAGCTGGTTTTCCCCAGCTGCCACCCTAGTAGTGTGTAGAGTTGATGTTTCCATCAGCAGATCTTTCAAAATAAGGGCCCAATAAAGTAATTATCAATCCTTTACAGATGAGGGAAAATTTCTAGAAAGTGTAAACACTTCCAATTACATATAATTGGAAATTATTGATAATTTTTAGAGTAATAGTCTCTATTTTCAGACCAGTCTGGTTGCGGGGGGGGGGGACCCTGAAACTGACATGCATTTTAATCCTGTCCACATCATTTGTCAGATGTGTAACACTGGAACAAATTACCTCCAAACCATTTTGTAAGTAGGGACAATGATGTTCAGTTTAGAAGAACACGGGTGAAAGAAAAGAGGTCAGCTGCAAGAAAATATAAAAAATCGCTAGGGACTGATGGATTTGGCCACGGATAGGAAAGGAAAATGTAGTATCAGTTGAGAGATGCTGTAGGTTTCATCTTGTACCAAGTGGAAATAAGGACAGAATTGTGCAGGATCCACCAGTTTGAGGCACAAAATGAGAGAGAACCTGGGGAAGAGTCAGGAGGTTGTCAGTGAAATGGGAAGAGGGCTAAGGCTGGGTGTCAGGAGAGTAAAGAGAGGCTTGGGTTTAAGGAGCTCCAGGTCACCATTAAGAAGGCTGGGAATTCTAAGGTGCTAGATCATAACGTCATCCAGACCAGTGGCCAGGAGTAAGCTTAGGACAACTCAGGGAAGCATTAGGAGTGCTCAGAAGGGTGAGAACATCTTAGATGGTTGGGGAGATCTGAGCTGGGGGGAAGGATGGTAGAAGTGGACAGGGCAGATACTAATAGGAGACTCCCTCCGCTGAGTGACTGGAGAAACAAACTATGACCTGAAGCTCTAAATAGGGAGATGGAGAGAGCAGAAGTAGACTGCAGGTGGCTGCAAGCTCTTCTGAGAATCACGGGAGAAATGTCACTCGAGAAGTCAGCCGATGCAGCATATGGTGAGTCACCCAAAACGGGGACCGCCGGTCACTCACAGGGCGTGATGACAAAGGTCACTAGAGGGCTGGGTTTAGATCGGACAGAAATTAATTTTCATAGGGATGGTGGATGGAGGAGCAGGTGGTACTGAGAGTTCTCCTGGGGAGGTGGGATTGGACACAGAGGTGACAAACAGGTTCAACAACAGGCTGAGTGTCACTTATTAAGGGAGGGGAGGAGTGTGCCTTGTCCTGCTGTGACTGTTGTAAACTGGTCAGTCTTACCCTGAAGACAAACTTCTGTAGCTTTTAAACCTTTCTGCAAATGACATTTCCCCATGGTCCATGACCTAGAAAGAAGGCAGGGAGCAACAGTTGTATTTGCTGCTGTGGGGTTTTGTTCTGGGCACATCGCTGAAAATCACTCTGAAGAGCTTTGGCTGGGAGGCAGGTGGGGCACTTGTTTAAACAATTCCTAGAATTTGTCTATGGATTTAAAAGCTATGCAACAAAGAGCTGTGCTTGCCAAGGTTTGAAAAAAATGAATAAAAACTAGAACAAATGAACAAAATGGGGAGATGTGTGCTCATGCAAAGACTGTGAGTTTAGAGGATTGAGAAGTACGAGGGCTTTGTTGACTATAAACAGCAAAGCAAAATGATATGAAGACTTAAGGGGGCGGGGCATTCTGACCACAGAACAAAATGCTCTGCCAGCTTTCATGATTTGAGTGTCGCTCTCATGATTTCTGTCTCATATCGTCATACTGTGTCCTTAGTATTTTTTTAAATATTTAGTATTAAAATATTTAATATCCCCTAAACATTAATATACCTAGAATCTTGAACTTATAGGCAATTTACATGTTTTCCTAAAATCCACAGATAGTCATATTAAAGGTACCTGTATCTGATCTTTGTCATGTCTTAGCAGGTTGGAGAAGGGATCAAGACAGCTCTTCAGGCCTGAATTACTAGATTGCTGAATTTACAAGGGCACTAAATGCCCCTTTGGAGACAGGATGGAAGGAAAGCAGCCGGCTTGCGTGGGTGTACCCAGGTAGAAGTTTCAAGGAGAAATGGATTGTTTGGATGTGAAAGAGGTCAAGCTATGTCCATGATGAAAGCATTCATGGGGATAGAGATGGTTTTAGAAGTGTCACGAAAACAGAGGGCTGAGGATGTGACTAAGTGCCATGTTACTTGACCCTGGTGTGCAGGGCCCTGAGCCAGGCTTAGCACCAGAAACAAAACAAAGCAACACAGCAGCAGCAAACCCAAGAAGAATGAAGTGGGTCCAGGGACAAACTGTAGCAAATGAAAAGGAAAGGATGTACTCAACGCTTGAATTTGACTACTTAGTGCCAAGACATGAGCTCTGAATGTGCATTTGTAAGACAGAAATATTTGACTTACCATTTGGGGGCTGAAGAAAGCAATACAAGGCCTGAGACACAGCGAGAAATCAGTAGCAGATGAGGAAGATGAGTTTGCGGAACGTGGTAGACTTTTAGCTCTTTAAGACATAACTGGACACACGCGTGTACTCTTGGCCCAGGAGAAGGAGCTGGGAAAGTTGCTGCCAGGAGAACATAGCAGATAGAGGCAGGCCTCTCTTTTGGGAGAAGGGAAGAGATTCAGCTTGGAAAAGGAGGTCAGTATTCCTGGAGGTGAAGGCACTGTCATCGCCCGGGCCTGCAGCAGAGACCAAAGGAACGCATTGAGCAATCTGTGGGAGTGAACAATGGCGGGAAGGCTTGAGAGATAGCGAGATGGCACTCCAACGAATCTCTGCGGGAGCCTGGCAGGGGGTGGGATGAACCTTTGGTCTCTGCACCCTGTTGGGTCCTGGATTTAACCCCAAGAGAGTGGCACTAGTCTAGTGTTTTGAGGTTTGGCTCTGACTCAGATGGATCACCTAAAACTTAGGTAGTATCTTACTACAGACACTGAACAGCAAGGATGGCTGAGAAGTCCATATTTACAGCACCCCCAAATTGTATGGACTGAGATACATTTTAGTCAAATCAGGGGGAATTATAGTTTTATCATTTAGCAGTACTAACATTAACCTGGTTATAGTTAGGGTTTCTTTGGCCTGATTTCTATTCAAATGTTTTTCTTGAATTTAGGAATCTGGATCATACAAGTCTATAACTTCCCAAACATCCAGGTTCAAATTAACCCTCCAGAATTTGAGATGAAGAAAATGATAAGCACTCTTTGAAGTTTTTAAGAAGGACCTCAGTCTCTGCATTGTGTTTCCCAGGTATCCAAAGGTTTCTTAGAGTCAGATCCTAGGGATGGGCTCCATCAAGGCCAGGCATGACACTTTGAGTTCAAAGATGTTCTTATCATTTGGAAGGGCCAGGCAAAGAAAGGGGATTTCTGGTTTGTCAAAGTTTTCTTTCCTTTGGAGCAGGCAGCCATAGCCCCATCAATTTGATTCCTGTTCTGTAACCACAAAGACAAGGATGATGGATCTCCTTTCGGGAAAACAATGCAATTTCCTTGGAAAAACATCCACTTTAGACAAACAATAAAAGCAACCCTAGTGGGGCCTTGGCTGCTCTCCTGGTATTACACTGACGCTTATGCCTCCAGTGCTTGGCAGCGATGATTTCTGGTTGCAAAACAAGCAGACCACCCTCCGGGGACACCCAGCCCCCACCCTGACCAGCAGA